TGATGAGCCTCCAGCAGCGAGTGAGTGAGCTGGAACAGGCCAAAGCTGACTTCCTACGCACAAAACAGCAGCTGGAGTTTGAGTTTAATCAGAAAAGGGCGAAATTCAAAGAGCTGTTCCTGGCCAAAGAAGGTTTGTGACAACTGCCAGCTTCTGTCTTATTAAGTCATTGAATTAATGGTTTTATTGGGTTTGTTTGACACCTAGAGGCACGTCTTCTCCCCACTATGCTCTCCACCTGGTGCCTGGACTCTTCTCTCCCATCGTTCTCTCTTCGGCCACCTCCGTGTTCTCCTGCCCCACCATTTGCGGTAGGCCTTCAGCCTCTCTGCCCCTACCCTCTGGAACTACATACCCAGGCCCTTGGCCTCCATACCACAGTCCCAAGGGGCTCCCTTGCCTCCTTCAAGGTCCGTCTCAAGACCTTCATCTTCGATCACCCTCCGAATCCCACCCTCCCTGCCCTCCACCCCTTCTGATCCCAACCCCCCAGCTCAGGGCCTGTTCAGTGCCTTAGGACTCCCTCCTGACATGAGCCAGGCTGCGTAAATGCTATTTGTTATTGTTGTTCGACAGAGGAGCTGCAGCGGCAGAATGCGTCGCTACAGGAGTCGACAGCCGACGTGACCCGGCTCCAGGGGGAGCTGGCTGAGGCCCGGGCCGACATGGAGAACATCAAAGCCATTGCCACCGTGTCCGAGACAACCAAACAGGAAGCTATCGACGACGTGAAGAAGCAATGGCAGGAGGAAGTAGCATCACTACAAGCCGTAATGAAAGGTAACTGATGGTCAGCGGCTGTGTCTGTTGTTGTGTGTTGCAGTGTGTGTGTTGCTGTGTTGTGTGTTGCTGTGTGTGTGTGTTGCTGTGTTGTGTGTTGCTGTGTGTGTGGGGGTTGTTGTGTTGCTGTGTGTGTTGTGTGTGTGTGTTGCTGTGTGTGTGTGTGTGTTGCTGTGTTGTTGCTGTGTATGTGTTGCTGTGTTGTGTGTTGCTGTGTGTGTGTGTGTGTCGCTGTGGGTGTTTGCCTGTGTTGTGTCTGTGTCAGTTTTATATGTGGAGATACCACGTGCGCCTCAACCTGGCTTAGTCGCTCACATTCGGTCAATGGCCCTCTCGCCTTTTGATCAGAAGGTTGTGGGTTTGAGCCACACTTGGGGACTGTCAGCTCACAGGCTGATACTGTATCTGGGGGAGCGATGCCTGGTCACAGGCGCTGCCCTGTGTGTGAAGCCTAGGGTTTCAGCTATAATCTCAGATTTGTGTTGCAGAAACAGTTCGTGACTATGAACATCAGTTCCATCACCGGCTGGAGCAGGAGAGGGCCCAGTGGGGACAGTACAAGGAGACAGTGGAGCGGGAAGTGGCTGAGCTGAGGCGACGGGTGTCGGAGGGACGGGAGGAGGACACCTTGGAAAATGAAATGAAGAAAGTAAGTACAGCCCCACCTCCCAGCTGCTCAGGCCACGGTATGCATTAAAGTCCCACAGCCTAGTGGTTAGAACACTTGCCTTGCAAACAAGAGGATCCGGGTTTGATTCCTGAACTGGGTGAAAACCTTAAGCAAGTTTCCTTACTCTACACACAAGCCTCTGTTTCCCTAGCAGTAAGTAGGAACCCGGTTGTTAGTTGATTGGTGGATCGCTTTCCGGGAGTAGTAATCCCTCCAACAAAAAATGTGGCCTCTCAATCCATGCCTATTTGTGGGACACTGCTGTGCGCAATTGGCTGCCACATTTCACCCACAAATATACAGTCAATTCACTTTACAGTATATTCTGTGAAGTAATTTGAGACGTCTCAATAACATGATAAGGCTCTGTATCAAATGCCAGGATTATTATTATGCTGGCATTCTACTGGTCCAACCACCCCACTTCCTCTTTCTTGCTTCCCATTATGCCCTTGAGCTGTGTATTGACTAAGTCCCGTGTCCAGCCTTACTGTTAATCTGTTCCTTGCTGTTGATTCTCTGCAAAGAAATACTTCCTGGTTTCTGTCATTTTTATTCATTTTATTTTTGTTTGTTTTTGATGACCTGCTTTACAAATAAATCTTGGACACGGGGCTGTTTTTTTTTATTGAGTGCATTTTGTAGCGATGTTCCTTTCGCCATAGAAATGGAACCCGCAGTGGTGAGTGACAGTCTGGCTGTTGTGTGTTTAAATCCAGGCCCAGGAAGATGCTGAGAAGCTGCGCTCGGTGGTGATGCCCATGGAACAAGAGATAGCGGCTCTCAAAGATAAGCTTTCAACCACCGAGGAGAAGGTTAAAGAATTGGAGGCTTCGAAGGTGAATGCTTAAGACACCAACAAAGCATTGTGCGCATTAACCGTTCACCAATGTGACATGTTACTCTCTGGGCGTATAGTCTTAAGAGTGTCACTGTTGCAGTGTAGTAGTGTAACATGTGAAGCTGATACAGTAAAACTCACAGAAGTCGTGTCAGTTGGGACCACAACAAATAATATGACTTGCGCGAAGACCGAGTTGCAGGCAAACTGTATAAATCGTATAAAATTGGCTTTAATCAATCATCTACACTGCGCGTGTATAATTCAGCGCAGCCGGTAAGTGCACATGCGGTGACGGGTCGAGACTACTTTTCCCGTGATTCAAGGCAGCCGGTAAGTATGGGAGTAATCGAGGGTGGGGGAGCATTGTTACCAGTTAGGAGGTAATTAATACATATAGAAATCTTAAGAGTTTTTGATAGGATACTGAATGGGACTCGGGTGAATCTACAACTTAGGCGATTGTAAGATTTATAAAAATAAGATTTGCAAAGCGTGTTTTGCCAAACACGTATAACGTGGTGGTTTGGGGTAATGTGACAATGTAATGTTAATCTGCGTTAACCTTCGAAAGAAACAGATGAACTGAGGTTCTGGTTTGTACTGAGCAGGTAAAGGAACTGAATCATTACCTGGAGACGGAGAAATCCTGCCGGACTGACCTGGAGATGTACGTGGCCGTCCTCAATACCCAGAAGAGCGTGCTGCAGGAGGATGCCGAGAAACTGCGAAAGGAGCTTCACGAAGGTAAACTGAGGAGCTCTAACCCACCCAATCCTCTGGGGTCTGGCTCTGCAAGTAAACCATGTACTGACTGCTAGTTAATAATAATAATCCTTGCGTTTGGACGTCTGAAAGCCCTTCACAGGATTTACTGTGAAGTGGAGCAACTGGGGATTTGTAAGCAAACATGGCAACCCAACTGCACACAGCATGAAATGACTGAACAATTTTATTTGGGTCATTATTGGCCAGGGCATAAGCAGTAATGTGGGATGTTTAACATCCACCTGAACAGGCAGTCGGGACCCTGGTTAACGTCCCATCTGAAGCACTGCACCTCCAACAATGCATCACACCCCCAGCACTGCACTGCAGAGTCAGCTTAGACTGTGTGAATCCATGTCCTGACATGGAGCTTGAACCCTCGACCTTCTGGTTCAGAAGCGAAAGTGCGGGACACTGAGTCAGGCAGATACAATTTGTTCCCCACTGGTTCCGTCAAGTCAAACCATTCTGTTTTTTTTGCTGCATCCTTTTCCTGTCAAAACTTTTTTCACCATCGTCGAGTTTTTAAGCTTTTATTTCGGGACTTTCTCTTCCCTTTTTTGGTCAGTTTGCTGGGTGTCTGAAACATAGCGAAACTCATCACCGTGCTTAAGTGCCTTGGGACGTTGTCCCGACGTGAAAGGCGCTATAGAAATGTAATTTTGTTGTTGTTGTTGTTATTAAGCATCTCTAAACTAAGCTGAGAATTCCATGTATCCCACCTACACATGGAAATCCCAGGGATAGATTGTTGGAATGGAATGCACACTCTCTCTCTCCCTGGAGGGACGCATCCTGCTTACCTAATTCCGGAAAGTATTCAGTGCAGGTTGGCAAGAGCCAAGGCTTGGGGATCCCAGAGTGTGCGTTAGGGTAGCTGCTGGTCTCTAGCCAGCTCGAGCAAGGCTGGGCTGTGCTGTCATCAGCAGTGCTCCAACTTAAATGTTGTCGCAGACATTAGAGAACCAAAAAAAGTGAAACCTGCCAACAAGCAGATAGCAATCTGTTACTGACAGCTACAGCTGCAGACCGCCGAGCGCGTTTAGACCACATGAAAGCACATTTATCGATGTGTGTGTGTATGTGTGCGTGCGCGTGCGGTGTGTGTGAGATGGTTGTGAGTGAGAGCTGAGGGTTGTTTTGGGCTCACGTCCTGATGTGTCTGTAACACTGTCCCCCGTCAGTGTGTCACTTGTTGGAGCAGGAGAGGCAGCAGCACCACCAGCTGAAGCACACGTGGCAGCGAGCCAATGACCAGTTCCTGGAGTCGCAGCGGCTGCTGATGAGGGACATGCAGCGCCTGGAGAACGTGCTGAGCACTGAGCAGCAGCGGCAGGTGGAGGAGCTCAAGAGGAGAGAGCAGGTACGAGCCACTCACAGCCTTGGCATTCCAGACGATTCTCACAATATCATCATATTAATAATAATAATAAGTCACGTCTGCCTGTTCAAATGGACGTTGAAGATCCCTTGGCTCAATTCGAGAATAAAAGGGAGTTTCTCTCTCCCGGTGTAATGATCAATGATCCCACACAAAAATTGGTCGCTCACTCCATAGCTGTTCGTGGGACATTACCGTGCGTAAACTGGCTGCCGCGTTTCACCCACAAAATACACTGCATCACTGCTTTACAATAGCCTGTGAAGCGCTTTGAGACGTCTTGACGGCATGTTAAGGCGCTATATCAAATACAAGAATTATTATTGTTATTATGAGAAACGGTGGCAGGAGCAGACCCCTTGGTCCATCCGGTCGCCCAAACATTGTAAGCCAAAGCCCTAACGGGTAGGGTGGTCCAAGTTGGAGAAGCAGCGGGAAGCTTGCCAGACAGTGGTATCAATGGGGTTTTAGGTGGTTAATCGTGGAGTCCTGTGGCGTATTGGTTAGAGCACTCACCTCGCAAGCGAGAGGACCCGGGTTCGATTCCCGGGCAGGACGAAACGTTGGGCAAGTTTCCTTACTCTGTTTACCTAGCTGTAAGTAGGAACCCGGTTGTTAGTTGATTGGCGGGTCGCTTTCCAGGGTAATAATCCCTCAAAAAAAAATCCCTCGTCCCACTCGGTGTCCTCCAGGCAGAGGTGGAGAAGCGGAGAATCGGCAAAACCAGGGAGAAGAAAGTGCCGCCTGAAGCCGAGGAGGAAGGCTCGACCGTGAGCTCGCAGTCGCACACTGAATCTCCGGCTAAATCTCTCAGCGTATTGCCGAACGAGGAGGTCAGTCCTGGGCACGACATAAACTGTTGTTGTTGCTGTTGTGTTAAGGGGACATGAGGTTACAACATGTGCCGTGATATTAAATGTTCTCAGGCTCACTGGGCTGAATGACCTCCCCGATCCCTATGTTAAACCTTTGGGGGACTGGCTCCTCACTGCTGCACAGTGGTTTGTTGTTGGCTAGTTACTGTGGGAACAATTGTTGAACATAATAATCCCCTCTCCCCCCCAAAAAAAAAACATAATTTGGCCACTCAATACATGACTGTTTGTGGGGCACTGCTGTGCGCAATTGGCTGCCACATTTCATCCATAAAATACACAGTCACCCCACTTTATGGTATATCCTGTGAAGCGCTTTGAGATGTCTCAATGTCGTGATAAGGCGCCATATCAAAGGCAAGGATTATTATTATAATAAGTAAGAGAGGGAATGAGAGCAGACGCTTTTTCCTGAGATTATCCATTTGGAAGCGCTCGTGGCGAAGAGATAAAATAATTTGCAATTAATTCTTTCCCCCCCCCCCTCCCTCCCCACCTCCCTCCCCTCCCTCCCTTCTCTCTCTCCCTTTCTCTCTCCCACCCTCTCTCCTTCCTTCCCTTTCTCTACCCAGATGTGTGGGAACAGTGTGCACAGCTCAGCTCACTCCCTGGATTCCGATCTCTCGGCTCCCGCAGTGGCAGCTGCGACTAAGGCTGATGCTGAGCTGTTCCGGGACGGGCTGCGGAGAGCTCAGTCCACTGACAGTCTAGGCACCTCCGGCTCATTGCAGCCCAAGGGCCTGGTGTCTGGGCACAAGGCCAAATCCGCGGGGAACCTGGACGAGTCGGACTTCGGGCCCCTGGTCGGAGCCGATTCGGTGTCGGAGAACTTTGACTCGGTCTCGATCGGCTCCTTCCAGCTGTCGGGCTCCTTTGTGCTGACCAAGGACCAGGAGAAAGCCATCAAAGCCCTGACCCCCGAGCAGGAGGAGACCGCCTCACTCCTCTCCAGCCTGACCCAGGGCATGGACAGTGCACACCTGGCTCCCAGCGGATACCGCATGGTCAGTGAGAAGGAGTGGGATCTGTTACAGCAGGAGGTGAGTAAGAGGTCACAGCCGTGTGCCTGTGTGTGTGTGAGAGAGAGAGTTTAAGCTTAACTGGCTCCAAGGTGACATGCCTGGCAACGGAAGGTCGGAATCAAGTCAGTCCTCTGTGACGGTCTCTAGTCCAGTTCCTGAGCCAGGCAGGTCCACAGTGTTCCAGGGCTCTGCTGATGACAGCACGGCCCGGCCTGGCTCATCGGCAGGACCTGGAAGGGCAGACCAGTCACTGGGGACAGGGTATCAACCCACTCAGCTCCTGTTAACCCCGCAGCCAAAGCCCTAACAGTGGACACTACTGGGAATTGGTAAAGAAATGAGAATAACCTGCCCCTAAATTTAAGTGTAGCTCTGGCTCTGATATATAAATGAAATTAATTGGGGATAATTTCCTCTGTAAATATTATTTAGCAACAGAGGTGTTTTAAAATTTTTGCTTCCTCCTTCCCCTCCTTCAAGATACGTACCTCTTTGACTGATGCTTTTGGTCATCGTTTTAGCTTTTATATATTTTTAGTTTTTAGCTTTGAGGCATCTCAATGACATGATAAGGTGTTATATCAAATGCAAGGCGTATTATTGTTTTATTATTTTATCTTTCCCCTCCTCACCTCCCTCAGCTCTTGTACCCAGCTGGAATTGTCAATTACAAGTCCTCTCAATGTGAAAGGCACTACGTAAATATGAATTGTATTATGAAAGGTTTTTGTAAGGTGGAATCCTGTAGTGTAGTGGTTAGAGCGCTCGCCTCGCAAGCCAGAGGACCTGGATTTGATTCCCGGGCAGGGCGAAACCTTACGCAGATTTCTTTAATCCACACGCCTCTGTTTACTTAACAGTAAGTGGGAACCCAGTTGTTAGTCGATTGGCAGATCACTTTTCCGGGGGTAACAATCCCTTAAGAAAAAATGTGGTCACTCAACTTCACGATTGTTTGAGGGAAACTGCTGCTGTGTTTTGCTCACAAAATATACAGTCAATTCACTTTACAGTATATTCTGTGAAGCACTTTGGCGTATCTCAAGGACATGATAAGGCACTATATCAAATGCAAGGATTATTATTATATTATTAAGGTGGACGGGTTGTTTCAACCTGTTGATGACAGGGAGGGCAGAAATATGAGTTTAGGAAGAACCAAACGTGTGAGAACAAGAATCCAGTGTGGCCGAACACTCTGCTTCCTGTAAGCTCTATGTGAATGGTCTTTGTGCCCCTCCCCCCCCCCCGGTGCTCGCTCCCTGATGCCTGCTTCCCCCCCCCGGGCCCGGTTCCCCCCGGTGTCCATTTACCCTATTGCCCGCCTGGTGTGGCTCCGGCCTGGCTGACCGCCCTGTGTTACCTGCAGGTGCAGAACGCGGGGAACAAGCTGGGCCGTCGCTGTGACATGTGCTCCAACTACGAGAAGCAGCTGCAGGGAACACAGACACAGGAGGCCGAGACCCGGGACCAGGTGAGAGCAACTGGTAGCAGCACCCCCCCCACACACACACACCCCTCACCCCCCATAACACAGCCCCTCATACACCCCCTCACACACCCACCATCACACACCCCGTCACATCCACCATCACACACCCACCATCACACACCCTCATACACACCATCACACATGCCCCTGTATGTGGGGTCCGGGCGGTGGTGATGCAGGGTTTATTTTTAGGAGCTGCGGCTGCCAAAGCCCCTTTTGACTCATCAAATCTTTCCGTCAGTCCCAGCCAGCGTCACTGTGGGACACCACTCAGATCCCAAGCCAAATTACAGCTTCCTTTAATGGCTGAGAGAGAACCAGCCACCGGCCTGAGGAGAAACTGGACAAATTGGGTAGAAAAGAGGAAGTATAAAAGGTTGTGTGTGTATTGGGGGGAACGGGGCTGGACGGAGAGAGAGCTCTCTCAAATGGCACAAGCAAGAGATGACGTCGCTCTGTGTGACACTGTGACTCTGTGCTGCAGGTGAAGAAGCTGCAGGTGATGCTGAGACAAGCTAACGAGCAGCTCGAGAGGACAATGAAGGAGAAACAGAATATGGAGGATTACGTCAAACACAGCTCCGATGACACCAGTATCCAGGTACCTGAGACGGCAACACAGCGACATCGGAATAAACCGTATGCACGAGGCTTCGGAGTTGGCTCCGCACAAACAGACCAGGCCCCTGGTCCACAAAACACACAGTCACTACACTTTACAGTATATCTTGTGAAGCCCTTTGAGATGTCTCGAAGATGTGATCAGGCGCTGTATCAAATACAAGCATTATTATAATAACTTATTATTATTATGACAATGCAATCAGTGACTCACACTCCCGGCTGTGCTCTCTCCCTCTGACTTCCACCAGGTGACCGGGCTGATACAGCGAGCGCAGGAAGCTGATGCGTTACTGGCAGAAATGCAGCAGTTGTTCTCACATGCAAAAAGAAGAACCCAGGAGCAGATGGTAAACGGCTTGGGGTGGTGGCGGGGGGGACGGGGGCTGCAGTCTCTCGTTGGGGAGTAATGCAGCTGACGGTGAGAAGTTGCATGGAAACGCTTGCAGTGTTGGCTTCTGGCCATTGATAGCTCCAGTGATGCTTCAGTGTAGTGTTGGGAGGGTACTGCATTTGCCTTTCAGATGAGATGTGTGTGTATGTGCAGGTGTGTGCGTGCGCTTGGTGTGTGTACATGTGGGTGTCTGTTTGGTGTGTGTATTTGCAGGTGTGTGCGTAGGCATGGGTGTGTGCACTGGGGAGTTGGTGACCACTGTGCTTTTCTCCCCTGTGATCGTTAGGCCGTGTTGACGCAGTCGAGGGAGCAGGTGTCGGAGGAGCTGTCACGGTTACAGAGGGAGAATGAGAGCCTGCAGGGAAAGCACAGCCTCCACACCTCCATCCTTCAGGCTGAAGCCTTCATCCCGCCTGATACCGTGGAGGTATAGTGCTGGTTAACACTAGAGTCCGTGCAGCTGGCTATTGTAGACTGTGACAGTGCTCTCACGATTTCATCCTGAGATGTGTTGCCCACCGGGAAGCTCGCAGGGAGTTCCTGATACCTGCCATCTACCCAGTGAGGCTCAAATCCACTCTTATCGGATATTGAGTGACCAACTGGTGACCATCCTCTTTTGGGGGGAGGGAAGTGGGGTCTCCCTGGAGCTGAACTGGCTCCAAGGTTGCAGGTTTGGCAATGGAATATCGGAATGGAGCCAACCCTCTGTGACGGTCTCTAGTCCGGTTCCTGAGCCAGATGGGTCCGCTGTATTCCAGGGCACTCACTGTTGATGGCACTACAGCCCACCCTGGCTCATCGGGAGGACCTGGAAGGGCCGATCAGTCATTGGGGGCAGAGAGTCATCCCACTCAGCTCCTGTTAACCCTGCAAACCAAAGCTCTTAACAGGTTAGGTGGTCCTACTTGGACAAGCAGGAAAGCTTGCCAGACAGCGCTGATAACGAGGATAACATGGTCTCTCTCTCTCTCTCCCAGGAGCTGCAGCTGCTGGTCAGGAAGTACCGGGAGGACATTGTTAGCGTGCGGACGGCGGCCGATCACCTGGAGGAGAGGCTGAAGGCGGAGATCCTGTTCCTGAAGGAGCAGATCCAGGCAGAGCAGTGCCTGAAGGAGAACATCGAGGAGACGCTGCAGCTGGAGATCGATAACTGCAAGGAGGAGATCGGTGAGGGCTTGAGTCACCCACCACCTGCGTGTGACACAGGGCTTCCCTGACTGACCGGGGGCAGGTCCCAGTGAGGTGTGGGACACTGTCAGACAGGAGAAGATCATTATTCGCTCACCAATGGGTTAGGCCCTCCGCCCCCACCCCCCGCATTCTCACATGTCTTTAAGACTGATAAACTCCATACATCCCCCGCCATCGGTGGGCAGGCCTTCAGCCTCTCTGCCCCCCACCCTCTGGAACTCCAACCCACAGTCCCTCCGCCTCGCTCCCTCCCTCGTCTGCTTCAAATCCATCTCAAGGCCCTCTTATTCGACTGCACCTTCGATCACCTCCTGCCTCCACCCCTCCTGATCCCAACCCTCAGCTCGCGTCCAAATCCCTGACGGTCCAGGGCCTTGGGATGTCCTCCTGATGAGAAAATGCTGTGTAAATGTCATGTGTTTGTGCTGTTTTGGTTTTGAAACCACAAAGAAAAGACGTGTTGGATTTAGTAAATGACAGTGACGGCAGCCTGGATCTTACTGTGAACCTCAGTTGACTGTAAAGCCCGTCTGTACACCTGAAACATCAGAAGCCCCATAGAATATGTTGTACACTCCCATCACACTTTGCAGAATCCCGGGAAGCACTTTGAGACGTCCTCCTGATGGGAAAGGCGGCGTGTGAAACGCAAGGATTGATTTAGTTTTTTTAAGTGCCTCAGAAACAAAATCTCTGAGCGCGTGGGTGTGTGTGTGTGCGCGCGCATGTGTGTGTGTGTGTGTGTTGGACTCTCTCGTGTTACGTGCATCTCTAATGCCTCCTGTGTTTGTTCTCTCTCTCTCGTTGACTGACTCAGATCTCGTTGAAGGTACGAGCCCCATGAATGCTGCGTGTCCATCCCCCACATCAGCCCACTTCACTGGCTGGAAATGTGCTTAGCTCTGCCTCACTAACTACCAGCCCCCGGCACACTGCGGTGCTGCTGTCAGCCATTGCAGCCTCGCTGGGGCAAGCTTCACTTCTCACGCCCTGAGGCGGGATGGGCGGCGAGACTCGAAACATATCTTTAGCTGCGTTACGCTCACGCTGCTTCGCATGAAACGCTCGCCCCAGGCCCTCCCGCCAGCCCGCCCACTAACCCAGACTAACGTGGGTCACGCAGTAATGTGTCCCTAATGTAGTAATGTGCTGACCCTCACCTCCTCTCTCTCCACAGCTTCCTTCTGCAGCTTAAAAAACGAGCTGGAGAGAGTGAGAGCCGACAAGGACCAGGTAAGAGATCGCATCCATTAACATCTCGGCTAATGGTTAAACTTGAGGATTGTTCTGTCTTTCTCTCTCTCTCTCTCTCTCTCTCTCTTTCCTCTCATTGTCTCCACCACCAACAATTTCCCCTCAAAGTCGTCTTCATTCTCCTCAGCTGTGAGCTAACACTTACACCGCAGGAAGCCCTTCTCCGTTGATAACCCGGTTAACACTGGGTATGGAATGTGTACACATCACACAGACGTGTGTACGCATCACATACACGTACGCACGTGTGCGTATGTGTAACCCCGGTGTGACGTGTAGTGCTGCCTGCAGTTAGAGTGCAAGGATTGGCTGCTGGTCACGACATGACTGCTGTCGGGAGTTTCACATCAGGAGCCAACTCAGGTCACCTTCTGCTACAGACCTAGTGACTGCTTCCTCTGAACTTGTCAACAGTCCCTGCACCAGACTCGAGCCCTTCAGCACGTGTACCTGTAGGTGCGGGGAAGCAATGGTGTTTACCTCTGTCAGTGTGTGCGAGTGTGTGCGGCGGGGAGGTGGGCAGGGGAGAGAGACTGATCTCTCTGTCAGTAGAAGACATTAAAGGGTGGCTGAGAGTGATTTATAGACTCAGCGGATCTGGCGAGGTGTTGTGGGAAGAGTGTGTTTCGTTGTGTGGTGAAGTGACCGTCTGTTCTCAGTTGGAAGCCTGGTTACCGGAGAGGAACCAGCAGCTCGAGCATCTCGAAAGCATCAAGATCAACTTAGAGGAGCAGCTCCGCAAGGAAAGCGCTTTCAAGGTCAGCAGCGAGCAAGTCATTTCAGCGTGTGTCAGCCCGGCTCGGCATGTGTCAGCCCGGCTCGGCGTGTGTCAGCCCGGCTCGGCGTGTGTCAGCCCGGCTCGGCGTGTGTCAGCCCGGCTCGGCGTGTGTCAGCCCGGCTCGGCGGGTGTCAGCCCGGCTCGGCGCGTGTCAGCCCGGCTCGGCGCGTGTCAGCCCGGCTCCGCGTGTGTCAGCCCGGCTCCGCGTGTGGCAGCCCGGCTCCGCGTGTGGCAGCCCGGTGCGGTGCGTGTCAGCCCGGCTCGGTGCGTGTCAGCCCGGCTGTGAGCCGATACCCAGCCTGGCTTTGCACCGAGCACTAACCCTGGGGTAGGGATGTGCTGCAGCCAAGTTTCAGGCTTTCCATTCCCACTTCCCATTGTCTACACCGCAGGGCAGAGGGGGACATGGTTTGACCTGAGTAGCGCTGATAAGCAGACACATGTGCTCGCTGCCTTGTTTGGCAGGAGAGCCCCAAACCACAATCTTTTACAACAAACAGGGAAAGTGGAACTGCACGTTTAGTGCTTGGTATGAGACTGGTTTTGCATTTGACAACAACAACAAAATTACACTTGTATATGTGACAGCGTTGACATGTGGGGAGCTGGGGGGGGAGGTGGGCTTTCCGCACACCGGAGCTGTTGTGTTAATTGCGACTGGTTTGTGAGATTCGGGAACGGCAAATCCAGGATTGTCGGATTCTAAGAAACACAAAAAGGTGTAGGGAAAGGTGTTCCTGCAAGTTAGAGACCTGAAGCTCTCACACACACCTCACACTCTTGTCTCACACACAGCAAACACACACACACACACACACACACACACGGTATTTGCTGCCCACCTTCCTCTGAGTAACATTAATGGGATATAATTATTTCTTTATAATTAATATATATATAATATATTTATATATTAACCCTCCTCTTTGGCTGCGCCTTTGGTCATCCCCCACCCCACCTTGCCCTCCACCCCTCTTGACTCCAAACCTCAGGTAAGAATCCTTGACTGTCCAGCGTCTTGGGATGAACTCCCGATTTGAATGGTGCCGTGTAAATGTCAGTTATTGCTGTTCTTGCTCCTCCTGCTGTAGCCTGTGTGGGGTGAGGCTTGTGTCAGTCTGGAGACTGTTTGGCACTAATGTGTCTGGTGTGTTACAGGGCGCCCTCGAGAGGCAGCTGTGTGAGGAGAAGAACAAGAGCCAGAGGCTGCAGACGGAGCTGGACGTCAGCGAGCAGGTGCAGAGGGATTTTGTCAAACTCTCACAAACTTTACAGGTAAGAGAATGGTTTCCTGCGGGTAAGGAACGGGGCGAGGGGCACGATTGGCCCAGGTGGTGTCACTCTCGTTTTTGGCGCCCCTGGTATTGAGGGAGAACAGCCTGGGCTTCCTGGGTGGGCACTAAGGATGCGGGGTTACAGCCGTTGAGACGTTGGGGTGTTTATGCTGGAGAGAGGAGGTTAAAGGGAAGATATTTACACTAACAATCTCTCTGGTAGTGTAAATACAGCGTTCCCACTGATCAGCGAACCACTAACAGGGTGGAAACTGGATCATCACCACAAGGGGAGAAAAAGGGAGATGTAATTTTTTTTAATATTGGAATACATAACTATCCTCAGCCCTGCCCACTCCACCATTGGTGGTCAGACCTTCAGCCTCTCTGCCCCACCCTCTGGAACTCCATCCCAGAGCCCCTCTGCCTCACCCTCTCCCTCGCCTCCTTGAAGGCCCGTCTCAAGATCTTCTTCATTGATTGTTTCTTCATTCACCCTCCTACCCCCACCCCCCTGCCCTCCGCCCCTCTCGACTCCAAGCCCCCAGCTCGGGTCCAAACCCTTCACTATCTAGGGGCTTGGGAGGTCCTCCAGATGTGAAAAGCGCCACTGTGTAAATGCAATTTGTTGTTGTTGCCAACAGGTTCAGCTGGAGAGGATCCGACAGGCAGAATCGCTGGAAAATATCCACACCATTCTGAACGACACGAAACTGACAGACATAAACCAGCTGCCGGAGACATGACCCCCGAGCCCAGGCTGCCAATGGTTTTTACTCATCCAGACACTTGTCTTTGTAGAAACATGTTAATTATTATTTAACTCTAATGAGCGAGTGAGTGAGTGGGTTGACGTGAAGAGCGGTTACTGAGGTGTAAATGTTTCTAGAATGACTTTGCACAGGACGCCTGACTGCAGACAAAAGAGATTATTTCCCCCACTGGACAGGAACGGCCAGCCACAGGGAACACTACTGAAACGCCATTAATCTCAGCGAGCAACAGGACTCCATCCCTAGTGTAACTCGTGTTTAAACTTAGCGAAAAAAAATCATTGATACAAAAATTCACAGGCGTGAGGTGCTGTGCCCCAGTGCCCCGTTCATTTACTTTGTATTGTGCAGACAGACACTAAGAGCAGGACTGGGGGGGGGGCGGAAGCTGTCAGTCCACTAATACCGGCTTCCAAATGCTCATCACACGTGACACAAAAGGATTGTCTTTTGGATATATCGAGCTGACTTTTAAATGACACTCAATCTGCTGACCCCCCCCACCCCGTCCAACCCCTCCCTCTCCTCACCCCTCCCAGCCCTTCCCTCTCATCCCCCCCTCACCCAGCCCCCCCCCCCCCTCACACTCCCTCGCCCAGCCGCCCCCCTCCTCGGCCCCGTCCCCTCTTTCCTCGTCCCTCCCCGCCCCTGGAATTCTCCCTGACAATAAGAACAATTCTTATCAACTAAACATGAAAGGATATTCAGTTTTATGTTTTAGTCGATAAAATTTAATTTGTTCGGACAATCCCGGCCAACCTCAAATGTACATCTCTGACCAATGACCTCAGAACACATTATCTCTCGCTCCAGACAGACACCGTGCCTCTCGCTCCCTCGCAGCCCAATGTTTGTTGCTAACTTACCTTCGGAGACGACAAAAGCAGTTAACAGTTTAGTTTTTTTTTGTTCATTACTGTCAGGAGTTATTAGACTGTCAAACAGAAAGCATCCTGAGATGGTCAGAAATGAAACCATGATAGTTGTCGGCAGGTGTTGGGGAACAGTCGGTGTCTGACTGGAGATTGGGGAAGATTGGTTATTGCTCTTCTTGACTGTCTCTGATCTGCTAACAGTGGCAGCACTGAAGCACGGGGCTATTATTAAGAGAAGCTCTCCGGCCGTCTTAAAATACTTTTAAGCTTCTGATAATTTAAGTTGAGGTAGAAATGCCAGAGATCTAATTCACTACTTTAATGTATTTAACAAGTAACAAGCAAAGCTGTCAGAGCATTCCCAAGATTGAGCCCCGCTGGTGTGTTGCTGTCTGCCTCATACGCAGTATTCCATGACTCTTCCTCTCCCATAAACCTGCCAGCAAACCCAGCGGTGGGAAGGGCCTATGGTCACAGCAGCAGTTGGGAGGAAACCATTGTTTGAAGCGAGGCCTGACAATATTATTTTAAAACCATTTAAGGAACAGAGTATCAGGATGACAGGTTAAAATGCTCGTCAATGCTATTTTAACTAAGCAAGGTGAAAAAATGGCTTGTCACAGCAGTGAACAGACACCTGCCCTTCACATTGCAATGACAGTGGGTGGGGGGGGGGGGGGTGGTGGAAGAGAGAAGAAACTGAACCAACTTGTGGGGAATGGTGATTGCTGATTGCTTCCTGGGGGCTATCCCTCGCATTGTTAGACACAAAACTTTCCTTTCTCTTTTGAAAAGCGAGCACTTACTTTGGTCAGTCTCCTCTGGCACTCTATACAGAAGCGATATTATATTAATTGGAGTTTGCGTCCTTGGTTAAAGCAGGGCCTGCTCAGTGTCTCATAAATTTCTGGTTCCTCTGAGCTGATGACAGAGCTGTGGTTCCTTGCACCTCATTTAACAATCCCTGTAAATCCCAATGACTCGTGTTGTTCAGCGTGAGAAAGGGTGTTTCTCATCTGTTCCCCAGTCCAGTATTTGGATTTTACATGTGCAGCTTCACTGTATAATAGCATGTCTGTATTTATTGAATCCAGTGGTACATTAACCACATTTTAGCTGCCAACATCTCCTAGTAATACCTTTTCTCCCCTGACAATAGCCAGAAGAGCCGTCATACAGACAGCCCCCAGGCTGCTGTGCAGGTGTGGATGGACAATGGTTTACAGGCGTGATCCAATGTAACTGCTGAACGTGTCTTTATTGAAGAAAGTGTTTAAAATAAAAGCTGCTGCAGAGTATCAGAGATATAAAAACATTGTTTTTTTCTCACTCAATTCACTGTGCGGCTGTGGGAAACTACAGGCCTGTGCTAACAGGGAGAGGCTTTATAGACAATTTCCCACACAGGTAGGGACACAATCCACATTGGGTGAGACTCCAATCGTTCCTGCCGTGTAGAGTATAATCAAGGAAGCTAATGAGAGGTTCGCTTGGGCTCAGGATTGAAATTTCCTCTGATCTGAGGCTGCACCATCACTTTGTCTTAGATGATGAAAAGTGCAGAATTGTAAATAACAGGAAAAGTGGCTTCCATTCTTACAGATTAAGACTTAAGCTCAGGATTTGAGTGCGGGGGTGTAAGTACAGAACATGGACATCAATGTATTCAGGCCTCTCTGCTCAAATGTAATGTAGAAAGCTGCTGCCCCTCCCACCCCAGGGTTGGGGTCTCTCGACTGCTGATGGTGGCCGGCAAAACAACTGACTGAGACTGAAATGACCAACATGCTTTATTATAATATAGCAATACATAAACTTCAAAAACATCCCCACAAATACTTGGTGCAAATACTAAAATCTCTTCCCACCCCCATTAGATAAACAATTCTGAGCAAATTCTAGTTCAGGAGATTGAGAAAAAGACACTAAGCTCCACAGGAGAGCTTTCAAATACTCTGTACATTTCAGACGGTGGTCCTCAACTCGTTACAAGACACCTCGCAGAAGCTTAAAGGCAGGAAAGGATCCAGTGAACTGTTGGCAAATACACCATTTAAAAAATATTCCAAATTCTCTCAACCGGCACATCAAAACCCTACTGCACTGAGAGGTACAGAGGGAGAGAGGGAGGGAGGGAGGTTTAAAAAAAAAAGGAAAAGTAAGAATCGGTAAATACAAAAGAAAAGGAAACACGAGAGGCAGAGAGAGAGAGAGAGGGCAGAGACCAGAGCAGCCAGAACAGGGAGACCGAGAGAGAGAGAGAGGAGGCACCAGGATACTCAGCTGCCCGGGAGCAAAGTGTTCCAATGTCGGACACAGCTGACTGTTGCTATGTAGTAACCCAGGGTTTGTGTGGCTGCTCAGTGCTTCCCAACTGCTGAGTACTGGGGTGGGAGCTGCCTGCGGGAGTTGACCCTCACCCAGGGGTTGGCTAGCACGTCCTTCAGTGGCATCCTGAGTGCTGGGTTATGTCGGAGCAGCTGTGAGATCAGATTCTTAGCTCCCTCTGGTACGATGTCCGGAAACTTCAGATCCACCTGCAGAATCCAGAGTTTGAGATTATTTCAGTTACTCCACCTGCTCTACCTCAACTCCAGAGCCACACACACAAAATACAACCCAGAGCAGAGACAACAACAAATTGCACTTGTATAATGCCCTTCAGGTCAGAAATGTACACATTTTAAATTTAGTTTACGAAAGCACCAGTGTCACCTTGCTGATCCGCCTGTAGGTTTCCTGGTTTGTCTCGGATTCGAAGGGAGGCGATCCCACCAGGAACTCATAGCACAGAATCCCCACGCACCACAGGTCCACCGTCTCGTCGTGCATCCGACCCTCGATCATCTCCGGGGGCAGGTAATCCAGAGTGCCACACAGCGTCTTCCTCCTGCACAGGTTAATCATTAACTCATTACCACCACTGAGCAGAGAGTCCAGGCCTGTGGAGGTCTGTCTGTCAGTCAGTCAGTGCCTCCACACCTGCGCTTCACAGACGTTCAAAGCGCAGAAGGCATCACCATGTCTAATGTATCTAGAAATTCTCTACTGGAATCTGTCCATTTCCCCTGCTCCCCATTTCCCCAGACCCTCGGCCACCAAATCAGTGGGCAGGGCTACTGCGTAACGAGCTGGGCTGAGATACAGACCTGGAGGAGGGGGCGTGCACGGACCACCCAAAGTCAGCGATTTTCAGCTCCCCGCGCAGGCCCAGCAGCAGGTTCTCGGGTTTGATGTCCCTGTGAATCACCTTCTTCGAGTGGCAGTAGGACAGGGCGTCAGCCAACTCCTCCATGTACTGGGCAGTGGGCACGACAAAGGATTCAGCATTAGACTCGCAGCAGAACTACTCATTCACATTCCAGACTGCACTCTTTTCATATTTAGTCTGACTCGGGACTGGGACAGGTCAAATCCAGCCTAGTTTTAGCAGCTGGATATATAAGTTAGTAATAATAGGCCTCACATTTGATATTGTGCCTTTCAGGGTAGGAAGGTGGATTTACTGTAAAATGCTCCTCAAGACATTACCCTATGCGAAGGACGCTTTATAAATAGAAGCTGTTGGTTTGTTGCAGTAACGCGTTTGTAAGGGAATTCAGCGTTTCACTACAAACATTGAAGCCCAGGTCAAACCTTCAATACAAGCCACCCCTCAGCGAAACTCATCATAGTCACGACACTGCACAGCCACAGGCAGGTCTGAAGCCGCAACTTCACAGCACACAAAATCCAACGGCTCAGGGAGAGAGAGGGTCACAAGTGCCCAGTCAGCACTCTACTGTCATTCCCCAGTACAGAAACCCTGAGATCAGAGCATTAAGATAGACAATAAAACCCCAGAAATCGACACTGTGCCTCGCATTCTCGGGAGGGATGGGCAGACAGGCATGGTGGGGTTTAGCATTCTCACAGTGTACTCACAGTGGCAGTTCTCTGTTCATCAAAGCGCCCGCATTTCAGAAGCTGTTTGTAAAGCTCCCCATTTGGAGCGTATTCCAGCATCAGGAAGACTCTCGTCCGGTCATAGAAGTAGTTGTACAATTGCAGGATATTGGGATGTCTGAAACAATACACAAGGCTGCCATCACTGGGAGTATTTCTCTTCAGTAGAGCAGTTTAACCGTATGCTGTTGATCCGCACAGGCTCCGATGAACACATTAAAGTGATATACAGGCAATAATAACAATAATAATCCTTGCATTTGATATAGTGCCTTAGCACGTCATGTAGACAACTCAAAATGCTTCCCAGAATATACTGAAAAAGTGAATTTACTATCTTTTGTGTGCAGCAGTGTCCCACAAATAGTCGTGAAATAAGTGACCCAATTTTTTTTTCGAGTGAGCTCCGTGACATTTTTCGCTTCTCTTAGAAGTGACGGCAGAAATCGCGCAGGTTCTGCAATTCGGTGTCCGCGAGGGAACTGACCTGAGGTGAGACTGGATCTCGATCTCTCTGCGCAGTTGATGCTCCACATTGTCTTTCTCCAGCTGTGATTTGAACAGCACCTTCAGGGCCAGGATCCTTTTGGTCTCGCGCCCACGAGCCAGGTACACGTTTCCAAACTTGCCTTTGCCAAGGGGACGCCCGATATCAAAGTCATCGATGCACCAGTTCCTGGTCAGAAAAATGTCTCATTATTGTGCTCACACAGCACAGCAAGGCACAGACTTACATAGTAAACACATCAAACCACACGCAACCACACATACAAAATACTTACTTAATAACTGGCTGCTTGGGCTGGGAATCTGCTTCCACCATTGTTTGACCACTAGAGCCCAATACTAAAGGGGAAAGAAAAACGGAAACTGTTGAGCAAAAGGCTGTTTTGTGTTGCTTCCTATACCTACATCATGGCATTGAAATGTGTGCTTAACGTGTTAAGACTTTTCTTCATTGGCATCACGGCCAAGTCCAATCCTGTCCTCGCCAAACACGCACACGCATGCCACACAACATCCTGGCCCCAAATAAAATTGGTCATTCACTTCATAATTTTTTGAAGGATATCGCTGTGCACAATTGGGCTGACACTTTCGCCTACAAAACATACAGTCAGTGCACTTCATTGTGAAAGCTGTCGTTGTGAAGTGCTTTGGGGAGGTCCTGCTGACGTGAACAGCGCTGTACCAAATGCAAGGATTATTTTATAATTATTATTACCATTCAGGGTGTCTCGGGATGACAAGCTATGGTTTTAGCTGGTTAGGCTCCAGCATTACCCCAACGCACACTCTGGGGTCCCCAAGCCTTGGCTCATGCCAACCTGCGTCTCATACTTTCTGGAATTAGGTAAGCAGGATGCGTTCCTCCAGGGAGAGAGTGTGCATTCCCTTCCAACAATCTATCTCTGGGATTTCCACATGTAAGGTGGGCTGCATGGAATTGTCAGCTTGGTTTGGAAACAGTTATAATAATAATAATCCTTGCATTTGATATAGCACTTTTCACATCTTCTAGATGTCTCAAAGCGCTTCACAGAATATCCTGTAAAGTTAATTGACTTTATATTTGTGGGCGAAACTTGGCAGCCAATTATTGCGCACAGCAGCGTCCCACAAACAGTCATGGATTGAAGTGACCAATTTATTATTCTTTTTTTTCTTGAGGGATTATTATCAGGCGTGTGGAGTAAGGAAACTTGCCCAAGGTTTTGCCCTGCAAACCCAGGTCTCTTTCAACCACTGAGCCACAGGACTCCACAATATTATTATCTCTGGGATTTCCATGTGTAGGTGGGATCATGGAATTCTCAGCTTGGTTTGGATACTGTTAAGGATGGTGATGGGTTCTCGCCCGTGTCAGGCTGTCAAAAGAAAAGGGAGTCTCGGGATTGTTATCAGGAGTCAGAACCTGGTCAATCTCCTCCACTCAATAGTCCAGAGGGGGTTGAGGTCACTCACAGACCCGCATGCTGCCCGAGCCCAGACCTCTCTTATCATAACTAATGAGAGGAAAGTGTTGTACCTGCTGACTGCTGGGTCAAGAAGGTTGGTGCTCCAGTTTTGGAGAGTGCTCTTTGGGCCAAGACGGAGGCAGAGGGAGTGATGGCGGATCCACTCAGCTGCTTCTTCAGGACACGTTTGGGCCCATCATTCGGTGGCGGAGTCATTAGCTTTGGGAGCAAACAGACAGCTACAATTACAAGGTACCAGGGATTATGTGGAGAGACTAGAGAGGCTGGTGGGGTCGGTTGGGGGGGGGGGAGTGGGGTCGGTGGGGGGGGGGAGTGGGTCGGGGGGGGGGAGGGGGTCGGTTGGGGGGGGGAGGGGGTCGGTGGGGGGGGGGAGTGGGGTCGGTTGGGGGGGGGGGGGGGTCGGTTGGGGGGGGGTGGGGTCGGTGGGGGGGGGAGTGGGGTCGGTTGGGGGGGGAGGGGGTCGGTGGGGGGGGGGAGGGGGTCGGTTGGGGGGGGGGGGGGGTCGTGGGGGGGGGGGGGGCGGGGGAGTGGGGTCGGTTGGGGGGGGGAGTGGGGTCGGTTGGGGGGGGGGGAGTCGGGGTCGGTTGGGGGGGGGGGGGAGGGGGTCGGTTGGGGGGGGGGGGGGAGTGGGGTCGGTTGGGGGGGGGTGGGTCGGTTGGGGGGGGGGGGAGTGGGGTCGGTTGGGGGGGGGGAGTGGGGTCGGTTGGGGGGGCGGG